TTTCTTTAAGCCAAACCACTTTCTAAAATTATCAAACCATCCTTTGCTGGCATTAAATTCTCCAGCGTTAGACCCTTCCCTTTCCTTTTGCTTTAAGTTGTTATACAATGACTTTGCTTTGACTTAAATCACATTAGAATCTATAGGTATGTCTTTCTAACAGCAAGCCTATAACCACGTAAATGCTATATTTTTAATAGTACATAAAGTGGTATTTTGCAAAACAAAAGGTGTAAGATCTTCATGACTGCTGGCATAGCTGCAATAACAGCTTCAAGGATTTCCTTTTCTTTCTTTATAATGGTCCTTATGCTAGATTTGTTAATCTTGCAACCACAGCTGCAAACCTCAATCTATGGCACATATCAAGCAATTCAACTCTTTCTTGTAATGTCATTACTTTTCTCTGCTACTTGAGAGCACTTCCAACATCACTAGTGACACTTTGTGTGGGTCTCAGAGTGTTACTCAAGGTTTACAGTATTGCACTAAACACAAAAAGTGCACGAGAACCACAAGAGATCACTTTTTAAGCACTATACATTTTATTGGAGAGATGAATTTCTCACGTGGAATAATTAGTGTCACATGGCATTTTAAGTGGATGCTCACAATACTTGAGCTCACCAGAATAGCAAGAGTAGGTGGTTATGAAATATTACAGTACAGTATGTAATATTTACATATTGTAAATATTACAATTAATATTTACTGTAAAGTACAATTAATTTATGCAATTACAATTTAATATTTTATCTTTACGTTTTACATTTTTCTTGACTGCGAAAGGTGCCATGTAAGACCTGAGTTTGTGTGTGTACGTTTTGATAAATTTTAACATTTTATATACATTTGTGTATGTTTTATTGTAGTAAAGAATACACTAGAATTTACGTATATTTTTATATTAATAATATAGCTTTTTCTTAATTCTTTCAATATTTCTAGGCTATGCAGTCTCAGAGTTTTTTTCAAATTATCCCAAACCTCCAAGAAATTTTATAATACATTTATGGAAAGAAATCTGCATATAAGTGGACCCACAGCGTTCAAACCTGTGGTGTCCTAGGATCAGCCGTATTTGCTGATATGATGTGTTATACTGTCATTTTTCAAAATGACATTACAGGTGTCTGGAAACAAAATAAAATTACAATGTAACACACACTAATCTGCACGCCTAGTTTTCATTTCATGCAAACCAAAATCTCTATAGAAAATAATTCCATTCATTTTTAGCACTGGTAGCTAATGTATGTAAAACGTGCCTCTTGAGAAATACACAGTCTTTTACTGGCCACTGTCTGAAAGGAAGAGGTAGATCTCCCAGTCATAAGGGAGGAGGCTGGCTTGTAAATCAAATGCACAAAAAGAAAAAAAGGCCATATTATCACTAATTCATAAAACACTTCTATTGATGGGTGTTCTTGTTCTATCTGAAAACGAAGTGAAAGCCAGTATTAGTAGTAAAACACTGCCATCAAGATTAGATAAGGGCAATTAAACTTTGTGTTATTGGCAGATCAAGTCTAAAATGCTAAGAAACTAAAAAAGAAAAAGACTGCAGAATGAAAACTAAGAAACAGAAACAAGAATCATTTGGGAAGCTGAAGAAAGAGTTTTTAATTTCCTAAGAAGAAGGTTCACCAAATTAGAGGGGAGATTATTTTATTAAGGGAGAACCTGGAAAAGGAAACAAATCAGAGGTATGTAGAGAAAGGGAAACACCATACATTTACCTTCCTTAATCTTTGTCAATTGAGACCACAGGTGGTATCTCATTTCTTATCATTTGACCAAAAAAAAAAAAAAAAAAAAGCTGCAGAATTGTAGGCCTGCATGACAAGAAGTAATCTTTCTTCTGCCAAGGTGCTGTTGATTTCATTTGTTGGGGGTGGGGGTAAGTAGAGTATTGCCTTAAGAGAACAAATTCTGGATAAGTTAATATCAGGATAAATATAAATAAATGTCATTGTCCCATAAGGAAATGCTGAAAAGGAAGACAGACAAGGCATGAGCCCTTCCATTAAAGAGTCCTTGACTTTGTGTGAGCTAAGACAGTACACAAATTAACTGCCATACAAAGCAGTAAAGCAAATGCCACATGAACAGTGCAAACAAAGTGCCACCCAAACAATCATGAGGCAGCAAAGATCCCTTCTGCCTGGGTGTGGAAGGCAGTTTTCCTTAAGAAGGCAGGATGAGAGCTGCGACCTAGAAAGACTGATAGGACATCCAGAGCTGAATACATGCATAAGAAAAACTGCAGTGGGAGGAAAATGGTAAGTCAAGTTCATTCATCCAAATGGTCAAAGATGAGGAGTGGAAAAAGCAACTTAACTCTTCCAGAAAAAACTCAGCCTAGACACGTGGAAAAACATTTCCAAGAGTAAAGACTACCAACAAATCTCCTTAGGCAGACTTGAAAGAAAGAGAATAGATTTGTTTTGGTATGGAGTGAGTCACTTCGGATGCTCTCTAAACAGGATGAACCTGAACAGTTGTTGTTTCCCAAGATTATTCCCTGGGAACCTGGAATGCCAACAAAATGAGTCTGTTTTCCCAAGGGGATTTCTCAAGCCTATTTTCTGTTTGTTTGTTTGTTTGTTATTTTATTGAGAGTGACAACTTTCATGGTTGAGATGGGTATTTCTCTAAGTTGGGACAATCCTAAAGACATCGAGGACCCTTACTACTTGAAGTAAAGAAACAGTCCACACATCACACTGTCTAAAAAGAAAAGGATAATAACTCATAAGACAAGCCTCCCAACCAGAGGTCACTCGCAGTAAATCTCATTAAAACACCAAAGCATGATGCAGTCATTGATTGCCATGTCTGATATCAGGGCACCCATAAAATCAGCTGGGAACAGAGCCCCTGGGGTAACCTCCAGATTCAGTGTCTGAAAAGCAGGACAAGGATGACCCCAAAGCTGCAAACAAAAAAACACACAAGAAAGCACACAGGAAACACACATTTTGCTTTTTTACAGACTAATAATAACACAGATGATTAGGGAACTATTCCCAAGACTGCCACTTTCTCATAAATATTAATATAAACAAAGAAATCACATAAAATCAACTTTTTTTAACCTTTTGAGATGGAGTCTTGCTCTGTCACCAGGCTGGAGTGCAGTGGCTCGATCTCGGTTCACTGCAATCTCCACCTCCCAGGTTCAAGTGATTCTCCTGTCTCAGCCTCCCAGGTAGCTGGGACTGCAGGCAGGTACCACCACGCCCAGCTAAGTTTTTGTATTTTAGTAGAGATGGGTTTCACCATGTTGACCAGAATGGTCTCAATCTCCTGATCTTGTAATCCTCCTACCTTGGCCTGCCAAAGTGATGGGATTACAGGCATGAGCCACCACAGCTGGCCAAAATCAACTTTAAACTTGCGTGTTTAAAGTTTAAATGTTAAACGCTCTTT